CCACGTGACCTTGGACGTCTTGCAAATGACTACGCATGCGGAGACGTCACCATCTTGTCACCTCTCATCACGTGACCTTAAAGGTTCGTTTTCTTACTGCGCGTGTCTCACTCACTTTTTTAGGGCCCCTCCCTGACATACCGCGGCTCCCCCTCCAATTCTTCGGGTCCCTGGAGTTCCCTCACCTACGTTTTGGGGTCCCCTCCTCACGTTTGAGGGGTGACCCCCAATTTAGGGTTCGGAGGGCGGGGAGGGAAGGAGGGGGACGGGTAGTAAACAGGGTCCCCAAGAATTCTTTTTTTTTCGCTTTTATTTGACTATTAATTTTATTTTCTTTTGGTTTTCTTGCTTTTAATTTTTTTGAAATTTCTTTTGTGTATTTCCTTTTTTAATTCGTTAATTTTTTATTTTTATTTTTAATTTTATTTATTTATTTCACTCCCACCAGGAGAGGCAGACCACCACCCCAGTCACAGCGCCAGGTGCATTCGGGATAATTCCTCCAATCACGCACACCCATTGCCTTTGTTCAGCTCCTTTTATGCAGTATAATATTTCATATACATTAGTTGTGTTACATATGCATTAGCGGTGTTAGCAGATTCCAGAAAAGAGGGAAGGGATCATTAACATACACCACTCCTATAACTCCGCCTTGGAATACCCCCTTGGGGTTTTCTTTCGGTGATCTTTGGGGGTCTTTTGGAGGAAGGAAGAAGTCTTCCTCAGCTTGAACTTTCTACCTTTGCTAAGAATTGCTGAGTTGGCACTGTCCAATTAATTCAAAACTAGTATCTTCTCCAGGAGCATCTCTTTATCAACGTTCAAGGTCTCTTTCTCATGAGCTTCAAAGCCCCTTCTCTAAACAATAAGGTTTTTAACTATATCCGGTCTGTGAGTTTGCATAAGCAATCAAGGCTCTATCCTATCTAAAAATTAGCTAGTAAGCTAATTTTGCCATTTTGCCTTTGCACCTGAAACCCACCACAGACCTCAGATGAAACGCACCACAGGGACACTACTGCCACTTTTTTGCCTTCTGCCAACACAACTTGCACCGACGGCCTTAACCCCTTTTTCCGTCTGCAGGCTCACACTGCACACCCCGATGCGGGGAGGCACCCACCTCCCGACCTCTGACCTCCACCTCCTGCTGACCCAACATTAGAAAAAAAGCTGCTTACTGTGTCTCACCCCTATTCCAGCACTGTGCTCTCCAGGGACAAACTGTTCCCGGCACGGCAGCTCTTCTTTTACCGTCACAGGAAGCCAGTTGACAAGTTCTCACAGGCTCCGATTGTTCCCCGTTGCCAGAAAGTTCATTCTGCCCCTCAAGATTCCCTCCAATTTTACCTCCAAAATATTCCTTTTTCATAGCACATTCCCC